CTAGAGTCAAAGCTCATCAATTAGCAGACCCTTGAAGTCCTATTCGCAAAACTCCACCAGGAAACATGCCATTCACTACAAGTTCTTTCAGTACTGCCGCTCTCAATTCTGTACTTCCATACACTTGCATCTTATACCAAACTATGTGACCCCCATCTCTAGTTGAGTTGACTGACATAAGCTTGCTGTTGTTCGATGAATGAAAGTTGATATGTGCACCACATGCATGCCTAGTCACGAGTTGACTAGTCAACTTACCTGGATCCACTCCCACCTCAAAGAGACTAATATGATACTTGTTCAAGAAAAATTCAACCTCCTAAATGGTGATTAATACTGAATTTAATGTTAGGCAAGTGCATATGAGGTACACCCTAATACTAGATTTGAGATAATGAAAAACACAAGTAATGCAATTTTAATTAGGACCCTTCCAACAACCCTAGGGATATTCTACTTCAACTTGGTTTGCTCCAAATCAATCCCATAAGAACTGCTTGTCTGCGCTTCATCCTTACCATACACTCTCGAGAAGACTCAATCGAGTTAACTCTTACAAATTCAAAGTAGATGGAGACCAACCCCTCACAGAATTAAGAGGATTGACGTTCCTGACATTCCACAAAATTAGAATGTTCTTTGAAGCTCCAAGGTAGGAAGACTCCAGCGCCTGTATCACATTCGTTCCGTATTGTGCTTGAATCCATGCTCATTATGTGGGGACTTTCCCCTTTCCGATTTAAGAGCATATGTCTCGACACTTGAAATTTAATAAGAAAATGAGAGAATGGTCAGGTAGGAAGGCAATGAATTTGGATTGGAGGGTCACTGATTTATGAGGGATTGAAATACTTGAAGAGGAAATTGAAATCATAAAATAAAGAGTACGGGAACGTGAGTTTGAGAAAACTAGAAATTTGAGGACAGAAGAAGCATTTAGGTAAACTTGCGGCCATGAGAAACCTTTTTGAGAATGAGAAGGAGAATTTAATAGCCCTATAAAATGAGTTTGAGGAAGTGATGGTGAAGGACGAGTGAAGTTAAAGACAAAAAGTTAAAGACTAAATGGGCAAAAAATGGGGATGCTTACACGCCTCTATACCATAGGGTGGTCGATGAACGTAGAAGGAAGAGCATGATCAAAGAATTGGAAATTGATAATGGGAGAGTAGAAAGGTGAATTAAGATAATAGGAAGTGAGATACCTTAGTACTTTTCTGTTAATGAAAGATGTGAACCATAGGCTTTTTGTTTAGCGTATGATTTGGTGTCAATTAGGTTGAATAGATGAATTGGTTGGAAAGGCCATTTGAGGAAGAGGAAACAAGGAGGGCGACATGGGATTTAGGAAGTGAAAAAATGCCTAACACAGATGGTTATGATAGAGTTCTTCAAGAGATGTTGAGACATGGTAAAAACAAATTTATCTAAAGCTTTTAAGAATTCTATTTGAATGGAACCATACCTGAGAGCGTGAATGCTATATTCATCACTTAGTGCCAAAAAGGATAAGTTTGTGAAGGCTTTTGACTATCACCTAATCGGTTTAGTGACAAGTGTCTATATGATCCGAAGAGTATATTTTATATGTTATTATCTTAGTAGAATTAGATTAAATGGCATTGTACTAAAATATGTCCTATCTAATCAATTGTTGGTTTCCTTTCTTACACTAAAAAGTTTGTATACGTAAGACCTTATTATTTAATTAAAAACAAGCTCAACTATTCTCAGCATGGTAACAGAGATACAAGAAAAATATCCTAACTTTTTTAGAAACACTAAACTGGCCTATACTGCTGGAACAAAATTAAAAAAAAAAGCTAAATCCTCATTTGGCATTAATAGTCGGCCTTCATAAACTCAAAGCAGCTTTCATAGCCGAAAACGCCCATGCTGCCACGAAAAATAGCCCTGCCACGCTGGAAAACAGCCTGTTCCAGCGTGGCCCGTTTTAGTCGCATAAACTCTGTTTTGCCTTTGTTTTCACCCCTATAGCAGCCAACCACATCGCTCTGTTTTTGCTTTGTTCTGCCTTGCAGCACTCTTTTTCTGCTTGTTTCATGTGCTCTGCTTCTCGTGCACAACCCCTGGTCTTGCCCTGTTTCTACTCTGCGTAGCTTTAGTGGTCACCTTCTGTAGCTGCAAGCAGAGAGAACCACTAGCCCCTTCTGCGCGCAACCGACTGCCGCACAATGTCAGTAGTCGTGTATGTTCTGCGCATAGCCCATGGCTGCACCTGCTCCTCCACGGGCAAGGAAGTTCTGTTCCAACTTGGTAATCCCTAATTTTGCTCTATTTAATAGGTCTCAATTCCCTAAGAACGTTAAATCATGAAAGAGGTTACATCGCAAGGTACCGGTCACTTGGCCTCTTCAATTATGTTTTCTATCTCTATGGTTTAAATCCCTCAATATAAGCTTTTTGTGTTATCATTGATTGTGGAATCAAGAGACACAGACCACATAATCAACTCTACTCAATTTTTAAGCACCTACATCTTATGCCCTGATAATAAGAAAACCATTATTGTCAATGGTTCACTAACTATAGTGGCAGGAGTCGGAACCATAAAGTTTAGCCTCACTTTACACTTATGATGTATTGTATGTCCATAAATTATGCACCAATTTCATGACCAGAACTCAGAAAGGATGCTTAGACGTACTAAGGTTTAAAATTGACTATACATCTTGAATATACTTGAGACACCATAGACTCATTTTCAACTAACACCCTAGATAAGATATGACTCTATAGTAAAGGTTAGATGACCCTTTATTCTCCACCCGAAAGGTTATGTTTCCTTCTTTGTTTTGGACTAATAATGGAAATTTACACTATGGTATATGTGAATTGACAAAACGTAAACATGTAATTTTTTCTGTCCTAGTAATAAAGAAGCAATTAATTTGGCTGATATTGATATTTGAGTATTTTTAAATGTCCTTAATATTTCTGGGATCCAATGGTTTGTTTATTCTATAAGTGATTGAATCATAGTAACTTGGCTTTTCTTGTTAAAATCAAAATATGAGATTTATTCCCAATTGTTTTCACAACATAATTAAACAATATCCTCATTTTTTTATAGTGAGGAAACATGAGTCTTCCTGTATTTACACCCCATAGCAAAATAGAGTGGTAGAATGAAAAAACAATCACCTATTTACCATTATCCATGCTTTCATGTTTCAGAACCAGGTATGCGAACACTCTAGGGGACAGCCATTTTGATCACACTCTATCTTATCAACAGATTATTATCTCGGGTACTAGACTTTCGTAGTTTTATAAAAGTTCTAGCTACTTTTTTTTTTTATTTTAGAAGCCCATGTTGCCGATAATCTTATCCATCGAGTTTTCGTTTGTGTTGCTTATTTTCACACACATTAATCTCAACAAGGGGAATTTGATCGTAGGACCATCAAATTTGTTACCACCTTTCCACTTAAAAATTTTATGTACTCGCTAATGTTACATTTTTAGAAACTGAGTCATTCTTTGATAAACCTAATCTTCAGGGGGAGAATATATTGGAAGATAAGGAGGCGTCATTTTTCCCTATCTCTAAGTATTGTATCCTCTCATACACCATTACAAAACCAAAAACTACCACAAGATACATATGAACATATACTATCAGAAAACCAAAACCTACAAAATGAACCAGAATCCTCAACCATATAAGACCCATAGTATTCTCAGGTATACTCAAGAAAAGAAAACTCGGATCCTAATGCAAAGTAAGTTCATAAATCCAAGTCAGGTGATAAAAATGAGATAAGCTTTGAGAACTCTTTACCCACTGGTATAAATTTAGTTATTGGACTTAGAAAAGGAACGAGAGAATGCACTAAGCATTCACTCTACCTGATCTCGAATTTTATATCCTTTGAAAAGTATTCTCCATCTCATCAAAACTTTATGACGAATTTAAATACAATATATGAGGTTTTAACCAATAAAGAGTGGAGCAATGGTACGAAAGTTGAAATGTAGGCTTTACAGAAGAATCAAATATGAGAAATGGTGGACTTGTCCAAAGGGAAGAAACTTGTGAGATGCAAGTGAATGTTCACAATAAAGTGCAAGTTTAATGGAACGATTTAGAGGTCTAAAGAAAAACTGGTAGATAAAGACTATACTCTGACCTTTGGGATATATTTTCAAGAGACATTTACACCAATTGCTAAGATGAATACAATACAAATCTTGTTATTGCTAGTTACTCAATTTGATTGGCAATTACATCAATTTGATGTAAAGAATGACTTCCTACATGGAGGTTTACAAGAAGAAATTTATATAAAAATACCACTAGGATGTGTTAGAGGAGCATAATTAAATAAAGTATATAAACTAAAGAAGACGCTCTCACGAATTTGAGCAATCACCTAGAACATGGTTCGACCGAATTGCAAGGGTAATGATAAGTTTGGGAAAACACACTTTGTTTATCAAGTACTCAGAGTCAGGGGAGTTACAACTTTTCTAATATATACGGACGATATCATTGTAACAAGGAATAATGAAAAAGAAACACTGATAGTCAAACAATGACTGACAAAAAGAGTTTGAGATCAAAAGATTAGTAAAGTTGAAGTACTTCATTGAAATTGAAGTCGCACACTCAAAATCATGAAAGTCTTCATCTCCCAGCAGAAATACATCAAGATACTGACAAGTTAGTTTCTAAACCAACTAGTATTCTTATCTATCCCAATCATAAATTGGAACTAGCAGAAGATGGTACGTCGGTGAATAAAAATTTGGATCAAATATTGGTTGAAAAAGGAATGTAATTAATTATCCTACACAAGACCAAATATTGTTTATGCAGTGAGTATTATAAATCAGTTCATACACAACCTTAAAGAGGTATACTTACGACAACTTATAAAGTGCTATATTATCTAAGAAGACACTCGGGAAGAGTATCATGTTCAGAAAGAATGACAGGATGCTTCTAAAAGTCTATATTGATGTAGATTATGTAGGTTCTGCCGCAAGTTACTGCACTTTTTTTTGAGGTAGCTTCGTTACTTGGAGGAGTAAGAACTAAAATATAGTTGCAAGGTCTAGTCAAAGTTAGAATTTCGAGTAATAACTTAAGAGGTATGTGAGTTATTATGATTAAAGAAAATTCTGGAGGATCAAAAAATTCAGTGAGATGGCTCCAGAGATGGCTCATCGTACTTGTACTATAACAAAAAAAATTGACTATAAGCATTGCTTGCAACTTGGTACAATAAGATAAAAGTAAACATATTGAGCTCGATAGACACTTCATTAAAGAGAAGTGAGACAGTGGTTTAAGATGTGGTCAATACATGCCTACTAGCTCACATCTTGCAAACATGTTGACTAGAAGTAT